TTAATAATACAAAATGTATAAATAATTAGATATTTACATGTAATCACAAATTTACGAAGATAAATATATTTTAAAAAATGTGTTATCTGAAATAAATATGAAATTAGGTTTTTTTAAAAACTGTAAGGTAGGTATACTTATATATAAATTAATCAAATTAATAAAATAATATAATCTTTGTGTATATATTTTATTGATTATTTTATATTAAACGACGTATGCATCCAGGGGCGGAGTGGGAAAAAAATTCAGGCCAGGAAAATTAATTTTCTCCAGGCCACTCAAAATTTTCAATTCCTATTAAAAATTGTATTTTATCTAATTTTGCATGTAAATATATATAGGCAGACAAACAACAAATAGGTAGGTACTAAAATATAATATAACAGTGCATGTATTTTACAGATAAAACTATTAACAAAACTATAAAACCGAAATAAAAATACACAAACCAAAATAATAATAAATCATAATTATTTTTATACCTATAGACTATAATATGTTCTAATAAAATTAAAATAAATATAGTAACTTACAAAGAATAAACTATTTTAGCTTCAGATATAATTATAATAATTGTTTTATTTATAACATTGATTAAATACTTAATCAATGCTTATAATAATAATTTGTTTAATAATTTACTCTTTTCTCCAACAGAGTTTATTATTTCGTCATTGTTAAGTTCGACTAGTGTTTTTTTCTCGATTGCCATTAACATAAAATTTTCTAAGTGTTCGTTGCTCATCGTACTTCTTAATCGGTTTTTTATATACTTCAGTGTTGAAAATGATCTTTCACACGCAACTTGTGTTACGGGTAATGTCAGTAAGAATTGATATGCCAACATCAAAGTTGGATATGTGTTAGAAAATAAACTATATTTAATTAAGGCCTTGTAACAACAAAGAGGACAATTTTGACAACTTTTGCATGGCTTTATTTTATATGAATTTGAATCTTCTTTGTCATCAGAATTTTCACTATCTTCACAATATATCATATTATATTCGTCATTTACTGATTTTTTTAAATATTTCCATGAGCTAGAAAAAATGTAATAATTCTTCACATAAACTGCTTTTAATTTGTTCAACATCATTGTTACATTCAATAAATGATTTAAGTTTCAAAGATAATGTAGATAATGCACCTTTCGGTATTCCATTTTTGAATGATTCAAAATTGTTTGGCGATAAAAGAGAAAGATCAAAGTATAATGTATTATTTTTAATAAACCTTGTAGTCATACTTCGTATAATAGCATCAAATACTTTATTATAAACTTCAACTTCAAATTTTTTTGCAGCATTAATTATTGGTTCATCTTTTGTTTCATAAGTAGACATCCTTTTCTTTCTTTGAATACGTTTATTTTCAAACTGATCTTGAATATCACACATTTCTAAATCTTTCTTATTTTTTTCATCTTCAGTATTTTCAATTTCTAAATCAATAATGCGTTGAGCCTTTTCTATAAACTTATCACATGTTATTTTTATATTTTCCATATCTCGTTGGAATTTTTCTATTTGTTTTAAAGTGCCTTCGACCATTTGTTGACATTTTAATAAATCTAAGCCACTTGTTTGTAAATATCTTGATAAGGGACCTGTTATAGAAAATATTTTCATAAACATATGTGCAATGAGGATATTTTCATACTTCAATAATGATGACAATAAACAGTTAGCTTTAGATCGAATATCGGGCTTAAAACCTTCATTATTAGATATTTTAGATAGACAAATAATCAACTCAGTATACAAAGCATCGTCAAATTTATCATAAGTACCAAAAATTCTGTTAAGGGCTGTTTGCTTTGCGGTCCATCTCGTTTCTCCGATGATTTGAAGACGTTTATTTCGAATATTATCGTGATGATTATTACTTATTGACTTCCAAATATTCATACGCTGGTATGATTCTTTAAAAAATACGGCACATGAATTAATGATAGAAAAGAACGTTGCTACTTTAACTGGGTTTTTTGTAGCGTCACATATTACCAAGTTTAAAACGTGGCTATAGCACCAAACATGAACTTGTTCGGGTGCTGTTTTGCTAAGCCAAGACGTAAAACCTTTATACATGCCTTGCATATTAGCTGCGCCATCTGTAGCGTTCCCAATACAACGAGTAATGTTTATGTCTAATGAAAATAATGCAGATTGTAATAACTTCATCATACCTTCCCCTGTAGAATCAGTACAGCACTTAACAGCGACTAATTTTTCATTTATTTCTCCATGTATTACGTACCTTAGTACAATTGAACACTGGTCCATCACCGAGATATCCTGGGTAGTATCAATTAAAACAGAAAACATATCTGATTGTTTTATTTGATTTGAAATAGTAGACTTTATTAATGAAGAGATTGATGTAACTACATTATCTATTGAATAGTGACTTAAAAGAGTAACAAAACTTCCACGCCCTTGAGATCCACGTTTATGCATTTTTTCGCTCGTATTTATAATTTTATTCAAATGTTCATTTAAAACAGCGTCATATTTACTTAATAATATAATCATTTCAAGAAAATTGCCATGATCTAAGATAGGGTCATTGAGTAAATATGCAGCTTCATTATTTTTACTTCGTATACTTAAACCACGTTTTCCAATAACCTTGATAACTTCAATAATTCTCTCAAGTACTGCCCTATTTTTCTTAACTTCTTCTCTTTGTATTCTTTTTTGGTCATTTAATAATAAATTTCCAATATTTTTTTGTTTAACATGCATAAAATAAGCTTCAGAGCATTGCATATGACATTTACTTGCCTCGTGTTCTGAAATACGCTGGTATACATGTTTCCAGTCACTCATACCATTAGTAAATGCATTACTGTCAGTCGAAAAAGCCAAACAAACGGAACAAAATATTTGTTTTGAATGCTCATTGTATGTACACCAATTCCTATTTAATTTGTTGTTACGAAAAAATACCTTTTTACTCGAAAATGGTAAAATTGAATCATCAGACGGTTGTACCGGATGAATTTGAAAAAAATACATTAAATTATGAGAATTTGGTTTCTTAAATTTGTTTAATTCTACGTTTTTTTCTGGATTGATAACCGGAGTGTCATGTTGAAGTTGCATTAGAGCAGAACTACTATTTTTGGAATCTAATATTTTTTCATCGTTAGTAAACTCGTTAATATCTGTTAAATAAAAAGAAAGGGTGGTCAAGTGGGTAACTAACGGAAAACTTTTTACTTTGTTATAACTTAAAATTTATTAAATAATTTATAACTTATATGGTACCTATATAAAAATAATTTTATTTGATAAGCTTACCTTGAGAAGTATGATCCGTTTCAAATGATAAATTATTATGATCAGAGATATTTTCAGAATCCGTTGAAAGTGTAACTGGATTCCGTTTACCAAAATATGAATCTAATTTCATACATTGTTTTCCACTTAACATCAATAACTTTTTACTTTTTTCCCTCTCTCGTTCAGCGCCACCTTTTCTTTTCTTATTATCGCTCATTTTGATGAGAAATATATTAGGTTGAAATGAATATAATATTTATAAACAAAACTTTTTAATACGTATGAAATATAAATGTAGGTACCACTCGCAACGTATTTTATCTAATGACAAAATAACGAAAAAATATACTAATGTACATTTGATTCGATAGTAGCGAGGCGATAAACCGATAAGATATTGTCGTAGACCACAGATGTCCATATTATACATAATAATATAATATAGACAAAAATATAATCCGTGTCGAAGACATAGAAGGCTACAGCGAAAAATATAAACATAGATAGCGTGAACTGAACTGAAGTGGGTATATATGTACATGCGTATATTAGATAGATATAATTATAATTAAATTCGATTTCGTCTTCGTATATAGATAAATAAACTTTTCCATTACTTTACATTATTATTATCTATACTTCAGATAAACGGGTCATTTAGCTTCCAGGCCACCGGGATTTTTCCCGGTATCCCGGTGGGCCACTCCGCCTCTGTATGCATCCAAGTATCCAACTACATATTATGATATTATAAGTACAGTCGATTCTCGGTAATTCGAAGTAAATGCTCGTTCTCTTGAAAACCTCGCGGTAATTTGAATAAAAACCATTAATTTAAGTACACTCGGTAATTCAAAATTTAATTTTGAAAAAACTGGCCACTAAAACGTGGCAATTCGAAGTTTCATCCATTCAACATTCGATAATTTAAAATATTTATTCATCAAATATATTTCTTATAATCTTTTTGTTGATAATTTTTTATACAACATCGTGTAGAAATTTAGTTTATTATCTCCGATAACTATAGAATTATTACGAAAACTTTATCATAAGCATTTTATTTTTTAGGCATTTGTTACTAATAACTAATAATAATTTAATTTACATAGGTTGTATAATTATATACATAGTTTAATTCACATTTTAAAAACAAAAAATAACTGTAATACCGCCTAATTTTCTGAAATATTTAATGATTAAAAAATAAAATTCTTAGTAGTTCAAAATTTTTTTTTGTTTTGTTCTCTCTATATTATTTCAAACTAGGAAATTCAAAGTTTTTCAAAAGTTCCGCTAACTTCGAATTATTGATAGTCGACTGTATACGCTTTTGGTTTTTTTTTTATTAATTTTAAGGCAATAAACACAAGTACAAGTATCTACACAAAATAATAAAAATAATTATATACACAAGTGTAATGTGAACTATTCAATATACACTTTTAAGATCAGAACTTAGAAGCACATAAATAATAAGTAGATAATAAATACAACTTATAAGCTTGTGCGTGATAGTTTGTACCACAGTCTTAGAAGATAAGACCGTGATTTGGAACGACAACGATTGATCAGAGGCGGGAGAACAACTGTTGGCTACTATGCAAGTGTTTTGTCGCCATGATTATCCATAGAGAATTTCCGCCATCTGGCGGTCGCCAAAGATAATGACATTGTATGTTGATCGGAACGTCGGATCAATCAAAACATTCAGAACTACCTCCACAAAGCTAGCAGTATCGCCGCCATAACAACATAAAATGACTTACAGGTTACGAGTGTTACGACACATGCAACAGCGTCAGCGTGTACTATAATGTCATACTGATATGCCGGACGCCGGTACTCGGTAGTGATTATTGATTTTTCATCAGTTGTATTCCTAGAATTGTATTTCGTATTCCAATATTGCGTGTTGGTAATGCTCATTTATTCGTTGTAAATTAATTACTTCGTCTTGGTATCGCCGGACGCCTAACGTTAACACAAAGGAAAACAAACCACGATTTTGAATTCTCACTACATAGAATTTTATTCGTTGTTCAAACAACAAGATGTCAGTCGACTAGCTGCTACCTAGACTCCAGAATAGGTTAGTAGAATTTTTGTTCAATCTAATGGTTTTAATGTTTCTCGTTAAATTCAATTTTCATCACAGGTAGACTCAAAAATAATGGCATAATCGCTAAGTGATAACGTTGTTGTTGAAAGGCGAAAATCCTATCGACGGTCATCCATTTCTCTTTTTAAAGTTTGTTAATATACTTTTCTACCATTTGCTATCATGTCTAATGATCTGTCCAGAAACTCCCATGACAATGAACCAAGCACTTCGGTAAATTATTACTGTTTACCATGGCCAATTATTGAATGAAATACATAGTATTTATTGTTTTGTCATAGGGTGTCTCCACACGTTATAGCAGCTCGCCTGAAATAACCAATAGTTCAAACAGCGATCGAGGTAAATAACTAACATAATCTTATATTCAATAATATAATGTATATGGCTTGAATTTTTTAACACTAAAAATGAAACAATAACATAATATTATAACCTAATCAATTTTAAAACATACTTTTTAAGATAAACTAAAAATATATAAAGTATTCTTTATTCATGTTTCAAAGCGATCAATTTTTATCAATAACCTGGCGCGCAGGTCATACTCACAACTGTTTCCCTCTACTTATCAAATTATGAAATTGTTAAGATCTTAGTAATGATATTTTGGTTTAAAATTTTAAGTTTTAAATTAACTATCAAACAAAATCGTCATAAAAATAGTTTAGAAAAAAAAATGGAATTCTCAATGTTGTTTCATAATCAATGAATCATTCAATAGCCAATAAGTACTATGAGCCATAATTGTTTAATTTATGTAATTTGCTATGTAATTTTTTTTGGGTTCTTCAAAGTATTTAATATTTTTTTACCCTGTTCAAAACTAACCTAGTATATATTTATTTATATTTATTCTCATATTTAAGATTTTTTTTTTACAGTATAATCACATGACTTATTGAATTAGTGAAAAAATTATTATTGTAGTTATTGATATTTTGTATAGTATGATAATTATTTTTATATTAATTTTATTACAGACTTCAAAAATGTCAAAATCCAAGATATTGTAAATTCAAAAAAAAAAAAAAAAAAAAAATTAGAATCTGATTCCTGTTTATCTGATATTAGTATCATTAAAAATTCTAAAGAAAATCTTGATAAGTATCCAAATAATCCTACATCTAAAGTTGTTTATAATGCTAATGGTAATATGGGTGAAAATTCAAGAACTGAAAATAATTCAATTCAAAATCAAACTCCAACGGTATCAAGTCATAAAATAAATGATAATAGCTCAAGTAGTAAAATGGAAATTGATATAAATGTAATTCCTAGTGATCACAGTGATGAAGAATATAACAAGAATTTGGAAGGTACTTCTAAAACTTATATGGTTCCTAATATATTAAGATCAGCTTTATCTCACAAAAGAATTAAAACTTCGTCCAAAAGTTTACTACCTCCTTCTAATTCTTACCGTGATCATAAATCTCCTCATGATTCTGAACCAGAATTTAAAGATACAGCATTTATAATAGTTCCATCTATTACAGAAAAAGTTGATCCAGCTTATAGCTATATTGTATCCGATAGCAAAATACAAAATTATATAAAAGAAGCAAAAATGATGGAAGCTGATAATATTGTAGATGCCTATGATTCGTCAGAAATAGATGAAATTATCAATGATGAAATTATCTTAGGTACACGTTACTATTTAGTGAAATGGAAAAAATGGTCTAAAGGATTTAATACATGGGAACGTTATGGTGCTTTGTATAAGTCACAAAAAATCTTACATGAATATATTCAAAATAAAAAACAATACGGAAATAAATTTAAACATTCCATAAATGGATTGCTACTTTTACTCTCTAGAAAAATGATAACTAAATTATTTGATTTATTCAGAACTGAGACTGGCTTATCTCTACCAGCATATTTACCTGAAAATATAAATGGCTTATTCAATTCTCTTGATGTCGGTCCTCCACGCTCTCAACGTTTAAAAAATAAGTGTTTTCAATCGTTTTTGGCTACAATTTCTTTGGGTTATTTAAGACAACAACAATTGGTCAAACTTAAACAATGGGAGATCGACATTAATGTAGTGACTCAAGGTTATCAAATTAAAGTAGAAAATAATATTGACCTTGAAGGACCACCAAATGTATTTGTATATATTACAGAGTATGTTCCTCTACCCACCATTACTATACCGGATGATCCTCCTATTGGTTGTACTTGTAAAAAAAATTGTCAAACTGCTGCTGATCAATGTTGTTATGAAATGTCGGGATGCTCAAAAGCTTATGATAGAAATAAGAATATTATTGTATCTCCAGGTAATCCAGTATTTGAGTGTAATAAAAAATGTAAATGCTCGTCTTTGTGCCCTAATAGGGTGGTTCAACTTGGTAGCAAAGTAAATGTTTGTATTTATAAAACAAGAAGATGTGGCTGGGGGGTTAAAACTACCCAAAACATTCAGAAAGGTCAATTTGTAGCTAGATATATCGGTGAAATTATTACAGTTGAAGAATCCGAAGAACGATTAAAAAATAACTATTCTATGATGGACTATATGTGGAACTTGGACTTTGATGATCCACAGAATTATAAATATATCATTGATGGTACACATTTTGCTAATTTCACATATTTTATAAATCATTCATGTAACGCAAACTTAGACGTTTATGCAGTATGGATTAATTGTCTTGATAGAAATCTTCCACAGATAGCGTTATTTGCTAATAGGTACATTTCAGCTGGTGAACAACTCACTGCTAATTATTTTTCCAGGAGTACTAGAAATTCTGAAAAAAGAGATGGCGTTAGATGTAAATGCGATATGAAAAACTGTCATGGCTATTATTTTTAGGAATACAAAAATTAACTTTTATTTGTATTTAACTTATTCCTTATATTTATTAGTTTAATGCTATTTGATTTATTTCATTGTTAAAATTAAGTTATAGACTATAGATTGAATTGTATTTTCATACTAATTATATTTTACAAATTTAAGTATATCATATAATGTAGATGATAACTATGTAGTATTTAATATAAGTTATTTAAGAGAACTCCAAAAATATATGACATTTATAATTTTCTTATTTTGTTCAAAAAAGAGGCTTAGACTGGCTTAGAATAATTATTTTTACTATTATAAACAATCTGTACAAATTCTTTTATTTATTGTTTAAAAATATATACATTAATTTTTTTTTGCATATACACATTTTATTATAGTTAAAAGCTTCAATCCACAAGACTTGAAAACCTCGATTAAGAAGGTGCTATTGGTTTCTGGAAGATAACACGAGAGACTAAAAGGACTAAAATTAAAAATTACCAATACTTTCAAAATAATAAGAATAACAAAAATACTATAATCAATTCTTAATTTTAAACATAAAAGTGTCACATGTTTTATGTCATTTGTCAAAATCATGAAAATTTTTAAATTATTAGGTTATTTAAAAATCATTTTCATGTTTAATTTTATCAACTAAGGTTTGTCAATTTATAATACAATAATATTAATAGTATTTATTGGAATTTTTTTTTTATAAATGATTGGAATTCAAGATTTGCTGTCATTAAGCATTCAAATGTTTAATTACAATTTATTCTTAGTTGATTTTTTATTTTGTTATTCAAATAATCATAAAAACTTAAACATTAACAGTTACTTAAAATATTATTAATTTCTATTTTAAATGTCAATCACACTTTCGAGTATTTAGATTAATTTTAAGCTATTTATACCATAAACCTATCTTTATATTTTTTGACAGTAAGTTGGTATTGACTTTACATTTAATAACAATAACACTATGGTTCTCAAATTTAATGCATTAGTAATCGGAGTAATCCTATTCCTACACTAAAATATTAACATTTTAAAACATTTATTTCCTAATTGTACTTTGGGGCAAAAGTTATAAATTTTGCATTTAAAAAAAAAAAGACTTGTACAGGGATTTTTTGGCTCATAAATAAAGAATTTTTATTTGCTTGTTTAGCGTTTCCATTTGTTACAGAAAATAAAATAGTTATTATGATTGAATATAATTTTAGACCTGTATTTTATACTTTTCAAAACAACGCAAATAACTTGTTAAAAATCCATACAGGATCAGATATATTATAATAATATAAACTGATTAATACTGGCTAATCGGGTCCTATTTTTATGTGCACTACAACATACAATTTTGCACCACAAATGTACAAGTGAGCACTACGATTTGAATGTGTGTGCACCACAGTCTACAAAATAAAAATTTAATATGCCAGCTACTAGGAAATATGTGTATTTCCTGAATTTTTTTAAATTTAAATTATTTTTAACTATAATTTAGTTAATTTTGATTGAAAGATAAGTATTTTGTTATTTTATTTAATTGCATTGTTAAATTTATTATAAATATATATAATAAATTCCTTTTTATGAGACAGTAGCGAGAATACAATTTTACAAATAATAAAATCTGTGGTTAACAGACTTTTCACTCGGAGTCGTTTTTCAAACCCAATGATTTATTATTAACTTCAAATTTTAAAATTTAACACATCCATTACAGTAACCTACCTAAAATTAACACCCTTTGTATAGCAAAGCTATTACCTAGATAATACTTATACATTTTTTTATTAAAATTTAAATAAAATGAGATGAATACAGATTGTAGATGAGGTTAGGAAACCATCAATTTGGTTTTTGTCCAATTTGCATACAAAGAATTGTTATTAAATTATTTGTGGATTTATTTTTGCAGTTTTTGGTATAGTATACTGTGACAGTATACATTTCTATAACAGAAAATATTTAAACTATTAAACCAGTTATAAGTTTGATCCTCAAATTAAAAAACGAAAAATAACATTGGTGAAACATTATATTTTAACTGCGACTATAATACAGCAAGTCATAAAAAAAATAATAATAAAGGAGTAGTTTTCTAATATAATTTATAGAATTTTTTAATGAGTTGAATAGTTAAGAAAAAATTTTAAATATCAAAAACTGACAAGACTTCTACACATTTTGTCTTTAGTAATTATTCGTTGAATAACATCTAAGAATTTTTAAATTAATTTGTAACATGCAAATTAAGAGAAATATTAAACATTACAGATAGGAATAAAAAGTATCAAAGAAATTGTATTGTATGTTATAACTGTGTATAATAATTTCTTTAAACTTAACTCCAATAAATGAAAAGAACAAAAATATAATGCAATTATTTGTAAATACTAAAGAATTTTTAATGGCAGAATTAAAAAAAAAAAGAACATTATAAATTTACATAGTTGTTTGATAATAATTAGTACACACTAAAATATTCCATTTTTTATTCTGACTAAACATTGTATTTCAATTTAAACAGCATCCTGGATAATTTCGGTGTATTTCTTAATTTTTGTAGCAACACTCATATCAACATATTTATCACCAATGCTGACAATCATTCCACCAATAAGTGAAGCATCAACTTTTAATTCTAACTTAATTGTTTCTCCTTTTTTGGTAAATGCTTGCAATGTCTTTTTAAGTTCCTGTTGTTCAGCTGAATCCAAAGGCTAAAAATTAAAATATATGTATGATATATAAAGTTTTGTACTAAGTCACTATACTATAATATAAAAAAAAATCTTTATTACAAATAGAATTACATATTATATGTTTATGTATATCATAACTATTTCGGTAAATTGGATCAATAATAACTTTCATGAAATTGTCACTCTCATAATATTGTGTAATTAATTTTCACTATGCATACTTTAATAAACCATTTATTGCACAGACCTGTTATGCTAGTATTTGTGATAAGAGGTACCAATAAATATTAAGGTTGTATAACTTTTGATTTAAATGGGATTTTCAAAAGGTAAAATGAGTACCGAAATACACATTTTCTTTTTCTAAATGGTAACACCAATTTTTTCTGCAGATTCGGTTAGATTTTTTTTTAATACATACATTTTTGGGCTGAATATAACATTCTTTAATTCTAACTGTTAATGTTACAAGGAAACCAAGCAAATATATGCGTGATTGCAATGAAAAAATATTAAATAATACTTGTGCTAAGTCATACACATATAAAAATAAATTTAAAGTATAAATACTTATTTATCTTCGTGTAGTTAGATGATTTTTTTTTTTATACGTGGAATTAAAATGACTTAAATAGTTAATTAAAAAGTTTAAATAACTTTTAAATAAATATAAATTAAATTGATATATTTATATAAATAAATTACTTGACAAATGATATTGAATACATAATAAATAATATATAAGGTAAAATTTTCAATTTCAGTACATTAAATGGGTGATCACATTGTGAAAATTGGGAGTTTCTAGTCCATATCATAAAATATTTTTGTATTTCATAGAATGTGAAAAAGAAGTTTTATTTTTGATGTTTCAACACTATATTTTATTAATGATGGGAATACCAAGTATTATGAAAACTAAAAAAATAATATATATATATATATAATAAGCCACACTGACATCTGTCACTTGTCAAAAGATGTAAAAATTTAAAAACTGTGCAAAAATAGTACAAGTTGAGAAGACAACATCAGCATCCAACACTGTCTAATGAGGGATTAAATAATTATCTGAGTTTAGAATGATTTATTTTAAACTTGATTTTAAGAATTACGTGATTTTCAAACTATTGAATAATAATGATAGTTAATTAAAATTACACAGAAAATATTTTTGTATTCAATTAATAACAATTTAAATAATTAATTCATATTGCAATAAATATATTAACTTGGAGAGAAAAAAAACCATTTAGAATGTCCACATTGGTATATATTTGACATGATATTTATTAGGATTCCTATTTTATTTCTAGTAATAGAACATTATAATTTTAAAATTAAACTTCAGCATATTTTACACTAATTGATGAATGTATACCTCTATTAATAAAAAAAAAAAAGTTGTAAGTACCTTAGCAGTTGTTACAACACACGACAGGTCTCCTCGGTATGCAGCCATGATAACTTTGAAACTGTTAATGATAGAATTTAGATTTTTTAATCTTCCATTTTCAGCCAACAAGCCTATAAATAAAATATTTTTTATATTTTGTATTTGTGAATATGTAATTTACACATATTCTAAAATGTACTTCAAATATGAGATATTTTATCTCTTAACTATAAGAAGTAATTATTAAATAGATTTATGATATTAAATGTAACACTTCTATTCTTTATTTGATCAATTAAATAATACAATAACATTTTTTTAATGAATCTTTATGAACATTACTACCAAAACTTATCACAGATTTAGAAAAAAACTCAATTGTTCAAAAGACTTAATAAAAATTAACATACAAATTGATTTTGAGTATTATTTTATTGACAACTAATTAAATAAATGTGAAAGTTTAATAGTTATAAGTAGTATTTATATTGAAATATTATACTTGATTTGGATGAATTGTTTGATCTAAATAAACTACAAAATAAATCAACTAAAACATATAATTTGAACATACTCAAAAAATTGGATGACGGAGGTGAAAGAGCAAGTTTCTTCGCAGCCAATTGTAATGTGTTAGCCTTTAATGACCTTTTGTTAATTGGGTTATCGACAAATTCCTTAAGCACTAAATCTGATTTCAATGCAGTCTGTAAAATAAATATTTCTACATTTTGTAAATAAGAAATAACAGAAAATACAAATTAAAATCAATCACTACCTGAAATTTGATCAAATCTTTTTCAATAGATTCCAATTGATTTTGTTTGCTACCAGCAGAAAACAGAGCAGTGGCATAACGCCCTTCAATACCAAATACTTTGATTGGGGGCTATTTTTAATAAAAATAAAATGTACAATATATAAATTGACTATATTACCATTGTATTAAAATTATTTAAAAAATAACTCACTTTGACCATTCCCTGGGATGAGGATGAGCTTAATGACCTCACCTGAAACGTCAAAAACAATAAATATGAATCCATAAAAACAGTAATAATTTATACTTACAACTGTTGTAAATTTTGTGGATGCCATTTTTTATAATTTTTACTTTAAATATTTTGCTCAAGCTATAACTTAAACAAGTGAACAAGTTAGGATTTTAAAGAAAGGTCAAACTACTCCAAGTAAAGGTAAACTCATATGAATTTTTGTTATCACTATTTCAAAAACATATGTATTTAGATTATTTCAGTGTTAACTTTCTAGTAATAATAAACTATTGTTAAAAACCTACAGCGTAGTGTTTGCCGTTTGGTGATTGGGACGCACTGTTCACTGTTACCAAGGTCCAAGATATGAAATAAAAAATCGGTATTAAACATTTTTTATTTTATGCATGAATAAATAAATATATTATAAGCGGATCAATATGACCAGCCTATGGGTTTTAATACATTAACATTTTTCTGGAAACAAAAGTGCGTAAGCAGTTTCAATTTTTATTCAGAAATAAAACACGAATAGCATTTTAGAGTTATAGACATATATTTATCATAATATGATGTATAAATGTTTAGATACTTTTTTTTTTAAACTCTTTTCCCTGATATAAAAGTAGGTATGAAAAAAAAATAAAGTTGTACGACTAAAATATGATATAGGCGACACAAATTTATCAGACTACTTAAATATTCATGGCTCAGACTCTAAGAGTAAATTGAATTAACGCCAAAACTAAATTACTATATAGGTACTCATGATATTCAATAAATGAAATGCGGATATCATACAAATATACCTAGATCTATGCTAAAAACCTATATAATTGGAGCCTTTTATCAAAAAATAATAAATATGTATATTATATAGCTGGTAGCAAGGTGGGTAGCAGTTAGGTACCTATCTATCTACTTACCTAGTTTAATAGTTTGGTACCTATAGTTAGATAGGAATATATCATAGCCCATAGGTACCTAACCTATTAAACATATTATATTAAAAATGTATGAATTATAATTTATTTATCATTAAGGTAGATACGTACATAACATGACGAGTGAAGGTAAGCTCTACCACGCTCAAGCAGAATATAATAATACAATTATCAATGAAAAAAATATAGGTAGGTTTTTAAAATTAAGGTGAAAAGAGTATGATTTGGAACCCAAGAAACCAAATAATAGAAACATGAAATTATGAAATGCATTATTATATTAAAGAAGATTAATTTATCTTCATTGATAATTCACATTAATTATCACATTCAATATCAAATGTCGTTAATTTTAAATGTTAATACAATACCTACCTATTATTATACATTTATGGAAAATTAACGATGTTAATTTACATATAAGTAGATAAAGCTATTATTATAGTATTTACCATGATAACATAATTCTTTTTTTATATTTTTTTATTTATATTCTTTTATTATAATTTGTACATAATTTTTTTTTCTATTTCATATTACTAGTGCAAAACGAAAGGGGAAAGTAATAGGGCAACTGCCGTATCGTTACCAATTACCATCTGTATATACATATATAGTTATAACAAACGTATAATAATAAATTTGTGTTCAGCAGAATCTATTTTGTTTTTATACAACATGTCAATAGCAATAATTATGATAATTGATATATATATATATGATTTAAATTGATTTATCATAACAAATGTTATGGTAAAAATATAAATGTAAATTGGTAGACATACTTATAAGTTATAACGATTGCATATTACCTACGTTTAAAAAAATTGTATATTTTACATTTTTATAGGACATGTGCAGATAGTAAATTTGACAGTACCTAACTTGAGTTCTGTTTCGGGGACGTAAGTCAGCTATATGTAATCATCATTATCGAAGTTAGACACTATATTATCATTATAAATTGATAGTTATATTTATATATTATTTAATATTTGTTATTAAAAACCAATAAATATTTTTTGTCTAATAATATTTTGAATTTTATTAATGATTTCTTAATATTTAGGTATTTCTGGTATTTATATTAATTGTAACATTGGCAAAAAAAAAAAAAATAACTACATAAAAAAAACATTGACCAATTTATAAATAATTGTTTTTTATTTGTATCCTATAGATCGAACCTATCTATATAATTATCAAATATTAATTACATATACATGCTGTTATAGTGAAATTCATGAAATAACAAGTTAATTAATAAATGCTAATAGTCAATAGATATAGGCAAAGTATAAAATATATTAGTACGTTCATTAGTTATTTTATATATGAACATTGTTCACTATGTTAGAGTGCCATTAAAATGGCGCAACTAAAACCATTTTGTAGGAGAAGGAAGGGATGTTCTCAATATTAATGTTCTAATTAATTTTAATTGTTATACCACAATGATTGAACGATAAATATCACCTTAGAGAGGAAGGTTTATTCCTCGAAGTTACGCCGCTGGAGTATTAAATCAATCGTGTAAACTGTTTTTTTTTTTTTATTATTATTAACAATATCGTCTATACCTATAATATAAATATTTTAGTCTTTATAAATACATTATGATTATAGATAAGATTCACGTCATAATCGCTCGTCCTAAACATTACTACATTAGTCATATGCTGTATTTAAATATAATATTTTGTTGTTTAAAGTGTTCGTTAAATAAATATTCCTAGGTATACCTACCTACTTTAATAGGAGTCAAAATTGAATAGTATGTCATGGCTAAATAGTCCGCAATATTTATAGTTGAAGGATAATAATAAGCAGTTTTTTAAATTTTTTTTTAACTGTAGCATATAATTTACAGTTAGAAAGTACTATCTAAGAAAACTGCAGATATTCACATATTAACGAAATGCTTTTAAATAATCGATTTTTTTGTGTATTAATTTTTGAGACACAATAGTATGTAAATCTATGTATAAATTCTGGGTCATAACTCATAAGTAGTATGCACCGCATAAAGTGATATAACTCGCTTTATTTTACATTTGTAAGACGGAAGCAACATATTATGCGGAAATCACGTTCTCTCATTCAAATATATTAATCGAAGATAATCACGACAATAGGTAAATAATTTAATAATAGTATAATTTTTAACACTTATTAATATATTGTAGTAATATAAAATATTTATAAGATAATAATATTAATTTAAAATTTAAAATATGATTATTGATGACACTAACGTTTAAAGTAATAATAATTAGTTCTTACTATAGCTAAAAATGAAATTTTTTTACTGAGCATAGTCAACACTCAACAGCATACCCTAACTACAGGTACTCTATAGACTATAGATATTTAAATACATATATAAATATGAGTATATCGCACGTAATATAGTATATTATTATGTAGATTTTAGGTAAACCTACCTACCTATAATTGTCAATTATATTATTTAGAATCTACAGCGAACAAATACGTATTGTATTTTTTTTTACTACCTAATTCAACATATCACAGTAAAGTTAGTATTTACTAGCAAATGAATATTATACAAGGCTGTATAATTAACCTGTTGGTGTCACATATAATAGATAATATAAGTCCTCCCTATACAGATGCATAAATATTATATAATTTTAAACAAAACATACATTTTTAACAAAATATAGTAAAAACAATTTCATTATTAGATATTATTATTTTTACGTGTGAAATCTATCAGTTATGTAACTATTTTAACATATTTACCTTTGTTCTGTTAATAGTTAAAATTTAAATGTCCTGAATATTATAGTATTATTTGTATTATTATTAATTTTTAAACCACATACTAATAGAAGAGATTAAATTGTGGACATAATAAATGAGATAGTATTAAAAATTATTAAAATATATAAGATATAAATATAAATAATATAAAGCCAACGATCAATTAAAAGTGTACAGGTAGAAATAATGTATTAAATAATGAGTAATAATGTTGATTATAAATTTATAACTAAAAGTAATGAAAAAGAAATAATATAGTATATGGAATATATTATATTGTTTATATGTTTATAGTCTATAAATATTACAATAAGGAAAAAAGGTTAGTTTATTAATTAACGCAATAACGCAGTAAGATTTTAAAATAATTTAGATAGCGACGTACTATTAGATAATATTATATTATATTATTGAAACTAGGAGCAGAGAAGGAATATGATAATTTAATCTGAACAGGAGAAGATTTGGGAAAAACAATTATAGGTTTTTTTTATTTGGGAGGAAGTGATTTGACTGATTAATGGAATTTCGATGTTTGTGGATAACTCTAAGACACACAGGGGTTATTATTATGTTTGGTTAATCGTGAAATCACTCAAACGTGTCTTTTTATATGTCCATGAACTCACGTACCTACTACGATGGACATTTAGGTTTCTAAACATAATATAGGTATATTTAGAACATCTTGTATCTTCATTGTGTCCATCTGTTCGTTAATTACTTATAAATAGTTTATGTACATAATTACAATTGTTGATATTATTGGTTATTAAATATTTTAATACTTCAGTTGAATAAATAAATAATTTTATAACGATTCTATTCAAAGTATATTTAAATACTTGTGAGTAGTTGGTGTTAAAAATTATCAAAATATGAGTACCTACCTAATTTATATAGATTCATCTAGCCAATATTAAAAATGGTAGAAATTAAGTATAACGTATATACCTAATATAGGTAATCATTCTCACGTAAAATAAGTGTTGAGTACTTGAGTGTACTTCATCATTAAAGACTGAGGAGAGAGTCACTGTAATGTAATATGTGTTAAATTAAAATTAAATTATAAATAATTGCATACAAAAAATGATCTTGAACGAAGACGATGAGTATACTTTATAGTACATTTTTATTGCAAATTCAAATACTTATTTTTTTTTTTTTATTGGTAATACGATAAATTGAATTAATTTTCCTGACTGAATACTCTATATTGTAAAATATTATTGTGCGTTTATAATATACTCACAATAATGTAACAAATATTATATATTAGTGGTTGAAATAATAAAAACAAATGAAAATAGTTGGAGTTAAAGGTAATAAAGTGAAAAAGTTATAGTAGTTACTTATTAGCGTACCACTGAGCTTTAATTAATAGGATACTTGCCTGCACATATTGTACCTGTACGTCTTATGAATACAGCATGCCGAATCTGCAGTGTTTATTAATTCAAATTTCGTATAGTAACCTTAATATTAGAGATGAATGATCAATTATCAACATAAATTTGATACCTACATCGTAATTACGTTTATAGATGCAGACAACATGTCATGTAGAATAGTGTGGATGTGGCGTCCTTTAAGTAATTAAGAACGTCAATTATTTGATTAGAATAATTAAAACAAATTTAAGTTTGAGATTTTAGTCGATCCTCAAATTTGAATGCCGTAAGTTGTTGGAGGACAAATCAGTTGTTAATAGATACAATTTGTATTGTTAAGAGAAAAATTGTAATGGAATAGATATGTTAATAAGTTATGATTATTATGTTTAATTTAAGAGACAATTTTTTAACTTAAATTTAAATTGTGAGTATAGATTATAGATATTCCAAGACAGCCGTTTATTAAGATAAATGCCTAAATATTTATTTGATATTATTTATTATTGAATGTTAATATGTTATTAGTGAACTGATGACTGTCATTGTGGCATAAAGTGAAGGTAATGTGTGACGATTTATTTTCATTCTCCGTTGGTTAAATACAATTTATTAATTTAAGTGAATTTGAAGGTTATATTAATAGTTATGTTGATATTTGGGTCAGAACTTACATAAGTAGATATCAGCCCCTAAAATATCTAAATGTTTGTATTATACACATATTCCTGAATCACCTAAATTTAAATAAAAAGTCAATGCTCTAAAAACTAGGGCCAATGCTTTTGGATTTTTTTTAACAAAAAACACATAGCATAAATTATAAAGTAATATGTAGATATAAATATATTATGTTATAACTGTAAACCTAACGCGAGGTGACTGTATAGACGTAATAAATGTATACTCATAAATTATAAAATTAATTATTTTAATAGTTTATTACCTATCTAATATTTATTATTATATAGGTACCTACATTGAAACTATATATACATTATATACCTATAGTATAAGGTACTTGGATAGATATAAGGTCTTTAGTCAAATTATATACATGTTTATAACTAAAATCGAAATATGATTTAGGTATTTTAGTATTTGAGATATTGTATGATATATATCACATTTATATTTGTATTTGTTAAATTATGTGATCATTACCTATATAATATGCATAAACTGATAAACATATTAATAGATCTTGTGATTTGTGCTTCAGTATTTATCAATTAGTATATTAGAACGTACATAATATTTAAATTACCAATATTCATTGTCATTACTTATTAGGTATTATAATAAAATTAATTAACGATAAATAATAATAATTATGAAATGGTCGTTATAAAAATATATAAGACTACGATCTGTCGAAAACCGTCAACGCCTCGTACGATAATCTCGATCACAATCCCGGGATATTTCACACTACCGTGAATGTTTGCACTGTCCGGCAATCGCAATTTTTTTTTTTTATCTCCCACAGTCCCGCGGCGTCACGACCGGTGACGACTGACGGTGTACACCACGGCACACCCTCCCAGACACCGGTCCCGCCCAGACGTCAGATTTCACGGCAGAGTGTTCGCACTTGGTAATCGCTAAACAGTTGTGTTCATACAGTCATACGGGTTTCAGTTGTCCTGTCACCGTCCAAGAAGGCACACCTCCAACGTCAGTCTTGTCGCCATCGTCGTAGTCGTTGGAATTACCAAACAAGTAAAATCGATTATGTATTCGTGTTATATTCATGCATTTATTTTAAATCTAATTTATCCAAACACTCGGTGTACGAGTTTGTTACATCGTATTTATACCCCCGATCGAGTTCATTCATTTTTATCTGGATGGCTTATTGTCAAAACTTTAAACTTTCATTTGTGGATGCTCCTTTTTTACAGTTTAATTTCAATAAAATTAAATCTATTAGAAAAAAAAAAAACCATCATTAAAAATTAGATTTTACGAATCTAGAAATGTGGATCAAATTCATTACTCAAATTTTAATCTATTATAATATAAAATTAACATCAGGTATCTTACGCATTTCTACAATACAATAGGTATTCTAATGGCTCATCTATGGTTTCAGTCAACCTATTTAAATATTAAAACGTTGGGATTTGAAGCATTTATTCATATATCATTTATTATTGTGTACCGATCAGTTAAACTATCAAATTTTTGCCTAATTGGAAATAATTTCTTTCGCCATACTAATTGTCTACTTGGTAATATATTTAAAACGCCCGTGTAGCTTCACATAATTTTTATTTTTATACTGTTTTATTTAAAATAATTTCTATATAAAAATTACTATTTAAGTAGATGCCCATCTAATGTCATAAGGTTAATGTTTTAACTTTTTAATAAGTAGTTCACGTTAACATATTAGAGAACTATCGATATTTAAAGATTTTAAATATTGTTAGCATTAAAAAATAAAAATTTTTTTAGAAAAATCGTAGCTCACATTTTTTAGCTATAGGTTGATTTATTTTAGTCGGTTTATTGCAATACTGCAGTACTGACGTTTAAGTCTTTTCAGAGATTGTTGTTTCTTATTTGTGTCATTTTATACCCTGCACGGATCAATCACTATTCGTTTTTAACTTGTAACAAACATCTCGATTTCAGCTTCTTTGCAAAGTTGTTTACACGATACGGAGCGTTTGAAATATATGTCTTTGTTTTTAGTTCTCTGACCATATGGTGAAAGAGGTGTTGTTTGTATCGTGACGAGTGCTTCGTGCACAACAGTTTGTTGTATAAACATCTGTCAGACAACTGGACAACGGGTGTACTTATAACTCGTATTCAGGATACAGCTCAACATAGACTTAAAATTGTACTCGTATATATTGTGACATTAATTTAAGCTTTGAATTAGTTTTATACTGAACGATCGAACCAGAAATTGTCCATTGGCTATATATGTGAATATAAATCTCGAGATTGTTCCATTTTGTGATTGATAGCACTAATAAATTATTAAAAGATTTATAAGTACTTACATGTTTTAAGATTTGGTTTTCTTTAATTTACAAAAAAAAAAATCAATAGCTCAGTATTCATTTTGCATATAAGGTCATTATTTTAGCAGCATACAAATTGAATATTATTAGTATTTTATCTATATTATATTATAGACTCTACAATGTAGACTGCAGTTTAACTTCCTACATAATATGCCAGTACACCTACAATTTAGACTACATATTACTCATGTCCTTGGACGTCTTTTGGGTCGATAACACCTGAATTTATTCTTATAATTTATACGATATACGTAAATGCAACACGTACATGCACCGTCAATATATACGTATTTATATATTACGTGCTTACACTTGATAAGAACGTCTTGAAAATACTAATAAGTTATAACCATAACATAATATATTAACATCGATTATTATTTATTATTGTGTGAAATTATTGATGAAATTATCGAATTATTGTTTTTAAATATTGGCCTTTTTTTGTGAATATTATTGTTTGTCATCTTCGGAGAAATTCGTGTTTGGCTAACATTTCTAATTCGTGATTACTGAAAAAAATTTAAAAAAAATTAATTATTAATATCTGAATCATCGCGTGACGTTGGTTTACGGATTATTTCTGAGAAAGTACACGACTCATTGTTATTTTATGTTGTCATTAAACAACGATAAAAACGTATCAAACTTCTAATTTATTAAACTTTGATTTCTAGTTTTTTACATTACAGCCAAATGTTTAACAATACAATATTAGTATTCAATGTACCTTCATACATTATCTTCTAAGATTCCTGATGTGATGAAGAGTGTGTTTACAAATAATAAATTCTGATCCATTATATTAAAAAAAAATTTATCAAATAAAATAAAATTTAAGGTTTTTTACACTGCTTAAATATAAATTTTGTGAGGGTAACTATAGAATATTGATAATTTATTGTTATAGTATTTACATTTTACATTAGCTTATTATTTATAGCATTTTTTATTATTAGAAGTAAGTAATAAAATACATTGTAGCACATTCTTTTCATGAGTTGTTCGATTATACTACTACATTTGTGCTATTTCAATATGCTAAACATACAAACTTCAGACAATGTCTTAAATATTATATTACATAATAATGTTATAAGTATTATAAGTTATAACAATAGTTTAATTTCTTATCAATAAAATAAACAAAATCATTAAACCTACATAAAAACAATGGCTAAGACTTATGGCACATTTTAATTGCGGATAAAACGTAAACATTTAACTCTAAAACGATAGCAAAAATTAATATAGTCTTATACTCGTTACAAAATTTACAAGTGAGTATCTAATGTTCACTTTGTTAGAAATCAGTATTTTACATATTTTTATTTTATCTAAAAAAATGTGAAATAGTTTATTAGTTCATAGATATTAAATAAAAATGAGTGATTATTTAATGTAAATACTTCATTGTTTTATGTTCTTGTATTATTAATTGATTTATCCAACTAATTTTATGATTTTTGATTCAAAATTAATGGTATGAAATTTTTATTGAAATTATTTCAAATTTCAACATAATATTTAGTATGTTAATACAATATTACTAAGTATGCACAATATTACTTACAAGTATTTAATGTTCATGGTTGCATATAGATAGACCTTGTGTTTATGAAATACGCACTAGGGTACTGATTTCGTAATAAATTGTAAACGTAAACACAATAATAGACATATGTACATCTTTGTTATGGTAATTCAATAGCCATGCTTAAATACTTTATTGTTATGGGATATTTTCCTAGTTAAATTTACAAGTATGTATCTTCTACTGATAAATTGCTACTAAATATGTTTCTAAAAAATTTAAACAATTATTAAAATCTCAGCAAATCTTATGAATTTGAAACAAAAATTCAAGTCGTAATAATTGTCATCTAATTTTTACGTCATCAATGTTTCAAGAGCTGTCATAATTTAACTTTTTGTCAGTGTAATTATTTCTTATTTTGTTTGTATATACTATAATATTCATTGTTTTTAAACTGTATATTATTATATAGGTGTTACAGTTAATACAATCCAGGAAATTTATATAGGTTGTATTAGTCATGTACTCATGTGGCCAATACAGTTTATATATCTTTATAATATAATATAGAATTAAATAACATGAAATGGGGGAATATGTGTTTAATTCGAGGTCGGGCGTCCCGTTGTATATCAGCTAGACGATGACATCATCCGGCGAGTTGAACTGCGTGACGTCATCACATACCAGTGTATTATTTTCCTTTTTGTGGCTCGTGCCCCTCTATATGCATTTTGTATTTTTTGTTGCTTAGTTATTATTATCTTTTTTTATATTTATAATTTTTATTTCTAAACGTGCATACATTTTAATTAGATAATATTTTAAACATTAAAGTAAGCAACAATATGCATTTTCGGTATTAAACATTAACTTTTATTTATACATACTTATTTTGGCTATTTATAATGTAATAATTTTAATTATTATTATTATTTTATAAATTATTAAAAATTATCAATGTTAATGCATTATAGAAACTATAAGTAATAAATCTTACGAATATTTATATAGGTATTTTATATATTTATTAGATATCAGATAATAGATATAATATATAGTCATAATACTTAAAATAGACACAGTATTATAATTTACTGCCCTGTTTAAAATTCAAATAAATTAAATGCTTTCATTAGAATACTTATTAGAATTTTAACTGACACGTTAGAAAAAAAATGTAACTAATAAATTTCCTGATAAGGGGTAGTAAACGAAAAAGAAGTCTCTTAAAATTTCACATTTTTTTAAAAATTAGGATTTATAATTCGATTGTTTAATTTCACTTAATAAATCAGATTAAAATCTTTATTATAAAATATGAAGTATTTATTATTATTATTATTATTATTATTTGTGAATTATAAACTTTATAATAAATAGATTATAGATATATGGAATATGGGTATACTATTAGTTTTCGGAGTAACTGAAGTTTTTCCATTTATTCTGTTATAATCCATGATCATGAATAGCAATCAAAACAAAAAAAATATATATGAATAAACATATGTGTGTACTTTGTATAAATTTCAGATTTTAATATGGTGTGTTCCTTAGCTTGCTATCAATCTTTTTGATCTATAGTTAATCAAAAATGCTTAATATTAAAAAAATATATCTTATACAAACTTTTTTCTAAGAATGAATATTGAATATAATAAATATCGAAAGATTGACGTCTATTTGAAGTCTTTAGAAAAATAATCTGCGTATTTATTGTACAAAGTGTTTTTTATTTTATATCACACTATTTTCATGACTAAACGGTTATTTCAAAAATGTCGATTAGTTTCTTTTTAGGTTTAAAAAATTCTTTAGAAATTAATTGTGTAAGAAAAAATTACTGAAAAGTTCTTACATTTTTTGTCAGTTGTTTAAGTTTTGTTTACTATATTGATAAAGGAGTTTATTGTAAATTGTAATCTATATGTTTTATATACGATTAACATCTATTTAATGGAATCGAAATCAAATTAAAATATTATGTAGTCGCAAAATGGAAACCTAACCCAAAAAGACTTATGATGCTTTAGTTATCTAAAACATAGAAAGGTCATGAATGGTTAGGGATTGGTTTTTATCGTATTATGTTTGTATGGATAAAAATTCTGTATTCGTTATTATTAAATGTTCCAGGAAGTATAACTACTATTTGAAATATTTCATATCACATAATACACTGATAATATTTTTATTATTGAAAAAAAATTAAACGACTAGAATTTAATTCGTTATTTATTTCATAAATTCTAATTGATATTTTATTAACATTTTCGTTTATTTCTTTATTAGTTTGTGTATTATTATTTATGATATTTTACCTCTTTACGCATGTTATTAGAAATTTAAATATTTATTGTTAATTATTCTATCTTAAACTTGTTGATGTATTAAGTACTGATTTCTGAACATATAATTTATACATAAAATATAATATATACATTATATTTTATGTATTAATCATTCAATGTTGCATTCATAGTTGTTGAACTTCTTTAGTAGTAACAAACGTTACATCAAAAAATTATTTTTCTTTGGATACTAATATTTTTTATAAGTTTATGATAATAAACTTTTTGATACCTAATTTATATCTGTTAGATATATCAGTCATATAATCATATGATTCATATCGATATTTAGTATATTACTAAGGAACTAATTTAAAAAATGAATCATTCATTAATCATCAGTTATTGAATTGGTGTATGAAACATACTGTAGAATAGTTTATTGAGTTTCTTTATATACTAACATTTTTTTACTGAGTAATAATAATAACAATTAATATTGGAGTCATAAGTTAATTTGTTCTTTTTATTTTTTATTACTTCTATGATTATACTTCAAATTTAATTTAGCTATTTAGTTTCTTATAATATGAAATGAATCTCTATATTAACTATATTTTTTAATTTTTTTTTTTTAATAAACCGTAAATCATTGATTTTTAATAATAATAATGATATACCTACTAAATATTCAATAATAAATAACATTTAATAACATTTTAATTATCTTATTTTTGTTTGTAAATAAGAAGTTTTAAGTTTAAACGGTTGTGTTATAATCTTTATTTTTTAATACGAATTTAATTATCTGTTTTGGAGTTTTTCTGTAAAAATGTTTTAAAGAAATATTCTTCACTTAACGTCTTAACTATGTATTTCTGTGCATAAACATTTTTAAAATTATCATATAATTCTTTAATGATTAAATCATACAAATACATAAAGGATAGTTTTTATAAGACTCGTTAATAGGTATATGTATAATATAAATACTGACATGTTTAATAAGTAGTTTTGATGCATAACAAGGATTTTTACCTTTTAAGGTCTCGGGTTTCATACAGTTCCTCTATATAGAAACATATATGTATTTACGATGTTCATTATATTTTCTATTCCGTATATATTTTTCATGCCATAAGCCCATAACGATGACATATAAACGTTAATGTTAATTTTCACAATATTACATTTTCTTGATACGTTTTATTTTGTGCACGTTTTCAAAAGTAAAGAAAAATATTTTAATTGTTACCTTTAATATTTAACACATTATTCTTGTTTGCTTGCTTGATACACTATGAATGTGTCGGATGAAATAAGTACACAATTTTTATTGTTTGAAAAATACATATTTCTTTTGCTTTACATGACAATAGTTTATTAGCAAATACCGTATAGTAAACAATACTCAATAGTATATGCCCGTGTCCTACATGTTTCTCCTTTCTTTTTTTATTTTGAGTTAGGTAGGTATAACATTTTTTTAATGCATAGATTAGGTATCATACTAGCCGTAATACTTAGCATTAAAAAAAAAATATAGATGTCCATTTATGCTTTCATCTGGTTTTCGATAATGTATCTTGTTGGTATTTTATAAATACCTAATATCTGTTTTGGGACACGAGAAAAGTATAATAAAGTACATATTTGGATGCATTGTATATACCATCAAATGGATGGGTAGCCATGGGGATAAATGTACGGTTACATGGCTCATCTACATAATCATTGTCTTCAAAAATAATACATTAAAAAAAAAAAAAAAAAATAGCGGCGCGAAAACAGTTAACAGAGAAAGAAAGACCATGGAGCTAATACTGGTTTCAAAACCTATTTACCGTACAAGGAAATGATTTTTAATACACACAGTATTACTTCAATGTCGAACTGTTTCATCTTTCTAATATTAACTGAATATATTGAAGACTACAAATGGTGTTATACTAAAGAAAAAATTTCATGACTGTTCGAGTATTATTTTGTTTTTAATATTTTAAATTAAATTTTTGATTACACTTAATTACAAATCATACTAATCAAAAAAATGTATGGATTCATTTTTGCTTTTTAATCAGCTTAATTTAAGTTAATTTTATGTTGTCTATTATCTTCATGTATAATAATATTTTATTTGTTATTACCTACCTTTATAGTTTTAGAATTATGTTAAAAATAAGTTTAATTATTAAAGAGTAAACTCGTATCTCATATGTGTTTTCGGGTGAATGACCCAATTTAAATACAGATGCACCGATCCATATCAACAATTAACTAGTAACATTTTAAATTTTTATGTTGGGAAGTTCTAAATGGCTGATTTTCATTTACTACTTTACCAAAATGGTCAAGTTCGTAGTTTTTAATCTAAAATATTTTATATGTCTTATAATATTAGCTATAACAAATTTTCATTTATATGGCTGATGTAAGTTTGTAGGAAGTTCATTATTTTATACTGACTATAATTTTATGTAGAAAGGTGAAATAGTATAACATATTACTCATGTAAACATATAACGTTATATCTACTAATTTAATTTGTAAATAATATTTTATATTATGTATAATTTTTAATTGTAATTATACGTTGGCCATCAAGATATACTTAATCTAAAGTGCCTAAAAATAGCTATAATAAAATGCAATATCACACCTAAAAGTTTAATAATATCCAGAAAAATACTTTAATGAAAAATAAATATAACCTGCATTATATTAAAAAAATATTTATCAAGATTGGTGTCACAAAAAGATTTGTAAAGTTCACCTGGTTAGGCTGGTTAGTAACCAGTAAGTTTTAAATTCGAGAAATTGCCAAATGGCTATGTGAATAAACATTTTAAAGGGCATACAATCATGTTCTACCCCTCTATGGTTGTGTGCTCAGATAGAATCAATCTGTAGGGTCTTAAATTATCAGTGGTTTCCAAGTTTCGGTAGATTCTGTCTGACACACCCTGTTTTAATATAATTTTATTTAATAATTTGACACTTGCAAGATATATACAAGTTTAGTAGGTACTATGAGCTTATAGTTTTTACATTAACAAATTTTAAAAACAATATTATTGTATGTTAATACGATGTAATCTCAATAATGATATAATAAGAATATATAAAAAATATTATTTTAAAATGTACTTATTAATATTTTTATTTCATCGTATGAACTATTAAATGTAAATAAATAAGTATATCATATTATTTTCTACATTATAAATTATGTAGAAAACTAAACATTTGTAATATAAAACCAAAATGGTTTACAATTTTATATTGACTGAAAACAAATTTAAAATTATTTATATTGATGTTAAGTAATAAAAAACACGATTTTGCACTTTCAAAATATATTATTGTATAGAACGTTTACATGAAAATGCATTATCACAAGTAGTATTTAAATGTGTAGCCATTATATAGGGTTATGGATGCATTGTCCTACCAGTTTGATACCCCCTGCGTGATCGATAATGTCTCAGGCTTCAGCATCCCCCAAATGTTTAATGTATTATTTCCTGACAAATGTGTATACAACAAATAAATCTCAATTCGTTAGGACGTCCTATTTCCGTTTTAATAATACATTAATGCATATTATATTATAATAACTACAATAATTTATCGTAGATATTTTATTAATAATGTCACTTTATAAAAATATAATTGTCTAAAAAAATGTTTTCGTTTTAAATATTATACTACACAATATTTGATTTTTATAGAATAGGTAAATAAATTTTAACTGGAATAAGCTTATATGCGTTTTGTACTTGATTTAATCGGCATGAATACTCAACGCCCAAGGGATATGAGTCATTGTATGAATCACCCCTTTCGAAAAAAAAATTAAATATATTCCTTTTGAATAAACATTGCAAAATAGCTTTATTTATACCATTGATTTAATATTTTATTATTATTTTTTTGATAGAAATGAGTTCTCCATCATTAAAAGATTTGCCAAAGGTAGCATTCGACCTTAAAAATCAACTTGAGGGGTTCAATCCTGACAATATGAAAAAAGCCGATACTAATGAAAAAATTATTCTTCCTACTGCTGAAGGTAAATAATAATTTTATAATCCAAAATGAATGCAATTTCCCAATAGTTATTTATTTATGATATTGATCGTTGAAATGCTTATATCAGTTAAGTATGCAGATTAATACCGAGCTGTATACGTATTATTAATATATGAGGTATAAAAGCTTTTTATTTCTAAATTTCTGATAAATTAATTTACTTAATTAAATTACTTGCTACAAAGTTATTAGTGCATTTTTGTGATATTTCCTGGCATTGTAATCTATACATTTTCTATTGTTGATTTTATTTTAGTTTATTAAGCACAGTTTGTTTTCTTATAATTGTATTTATAAAATAATATTAGGTATTTACTACAATTGAAATTGAGTAATATATAATTGTTTTCAAAGCATGTTATTTTAAATAGGTAAATTTGTTTAATTAAAACCTAAACTTTAAGTCATTGGCGTGTGCAGACATTATTAAAAGAATAGTAAATTATGTTAATAATTTATCTAATGTAAAAAATCCAGCTATAACAATTTTAGATTCCCTCAAAAGTGTAACTGTAAAAATACAATTTATTTGTTGGAAATTTTTTATAAAAAAATCTTATTAACAAAGTTCAAGACTCAAGTCAAATTAAAGTTTTGAATTAGTATAATTTCTTTAGTATTTATTTCTGAGGCCATTTTTGATATCTTTTGGTTTTAATGGTCATTTAAATAATGACGTATATTTAGAACTACCAAATTAAAATAAAATAGTCATTATTAACTGTACACTAATAACAGTAATAACAAATTTTAAATTAAATTTCAAAAAATAAAACGTTAAAAAATTCTGAAGTTTTATGAAAAAATAAATAGACCTTTTAGAATCTCATAGTATGCAGTGGCATATTCTTTGTGCATGCCAATGATTAAAGTATTTATTACTTGAAATGCTTTTTAAGTTTAAATGGTTTTCCACTATAAATGTGTTGCTTATGTGTGTAAATCTTATTGTTACGTGAATTTATCACGCTTATGCTAGTATTTATCAATGAGTAAGTATATTAAATTGCTTGCTTTTGCTTTTTTTTTGGATTAAAAAAAAGACGTGAAACGCGAACGCCAACATAATGATCTCATCCATGGTGTCAATAATTTTAGCGCAGACAAGCTAAAAAGAACAGATACTCTAGAAAAAGTAATATTGCCAAACGCTCAAGGTAAGTTTGCTCATGCTATAAATTATTTTTCGTGTTAAATTTTTCCTGAAAAAAAAACATGCTTACAAGTATGTACAACACTTAATACAAATGTTGTTTTTATTTTAATTAGATAATAGAACATGAAAAAAAATGTATGATGTATCTATTTGGTCTATATCAAATAGTACACAAAAATTGAATAGCAATATGTTTTATGTTTTTTTTTTTTTTGTAGATGTAGCTACAGAAAAAAGCCAAAAAGCTTTCACTGAAGCACTTATTGAAGGCGTTGGTGGGTTTGATACTAATAAATTGAAACACACTGAAACACAAGAAAAAAATCCACTTCCTGATAAGGCTGGTCAGTATTAATTAATTTAATATATATTATTTCCCAATTATACAATTTAAATTGTGTTTGTATTTATAGTTATTAAAAATAAAAAGTATATGTTTAAATTCTAGTGATTGAAGCCGAAAAAGAACAACAACAATTAATTGCTGGTATTGAAAACTTTGATCCTGCAAAGTTGAAACCCACTGTAACTGAAGAAAAAAACCCATTGCCCACTAAAGAAGGTATCTAAATTTAATAATACTAATATTTATTATGTACTATATGAATAGTAAGAATTAAGGGTGAATAAAGAATTTTAATCTATTATCAATTGAATTTTATGACTTTATTTTCTAGTTATTGCCGAAGAGAAAAAAGCCTAAGCATTAACATTCCTAATGGTTCCTCAATGGGATGGATAAATTATTATATTAATTATACTTTTACATTTGTATCGTCTTTTGAGTTGGAAAAAAATGTATGGAAATGTGAACATTTTACATATTATGCATATACTATAGATGGTCGTTTTTAATTAAGAATCTCTAAACCAATTCTGTCTTGATATATTAACTTTTAAGTTTAATATATAATATATGTATTTATTTTGCATTTTTTAACACTCAATGTATGTGTATTTTTTTACTCTTTTAAACCTTTTTTTTATATAACCCAATATATAATTATGCTATTTTATAACACCAATATCTAAAAATATAGTACTTAAATATTAAAAAATATATGTATTATTATTTTTTTTTTTTTTTTTATTGTATTTTGGCTTTTTAATATATTATTATATTGTTTATAAACTAACAAAAAAAAAAAGTGGTATCATCAGTAATATATATTTTAGAAAAAATAATTTTAAATTGTGAACAAATTAAAAATCATAATCAAATGAATATCAGGTATTCAGGTAATTATAAAAAAATGTTTTGAGAACCTAAGATCAAATTAGCAAGGTAAATTACGTTATTTTTATATTATGTAATAACTAATAATAATACATACTAATGTGTATATCATATGTGTCATATTAAACTTATGTGCTTACAAATAATAATGCAAATTTAAATTATATAACGTACAACTTTCTTTTGAAAAAGTACTCAAAGTTATATTGAAAAGTGGTATTAAAGTATAAATTATTTGTACTTACATAATTTTTAAAATAATGGCTTAGAAAAAATAATCACTTAGTATGAAGTAAGAAAAATTTTTACTTTGTAGTTTTTACCATTTGCATCTACATGCAGATTATCAGTGGCGCTATTTGAATTTTTTTAATGTGAACAAATTTAAGTAGGTAGTTATTTTTTTTTATCATCATTCAATTAAAATTGTCTTTATAATAATAAATACAAATATTTTATATGTACCTATGTATGTGATAAGTGGATTTATGGATTATATATTTTTCAATATTTCAATGAATTTAAAAAAAATGATAAGTTTTCAATAGCTTTTTTGGTGTATATCTAGTACCTATTAATAAATAATAACATGCATCTTTTAACAACAAATATAAAAATTATGGTTTAACTAATATATTATATAAATTGTATGCATCGGTTATTGATACATTTGTAATCTTTATAGCAGTCTTAAAGGCGCAGAACTAACTAGTACACCCGTCCATTACTCAAATAGTATTTCTCAACCGGTCAGCCTCTGATTGTCTACCTACATGAATTATTAAATAATTATTATACCCATAAATTTTCTTAGCAATACTGTCACTGCAGAATATAATACAATACTATGTCTAAGCGAGATAAAGTAAACTTTTGTTATGTCGAATATCAAGGAGACAAAATAAGTTAAAGATATCAAGTTTTAGTGTATAGTTGCAAATTGCAATGTCAAGGAGATTTTTTATTAGTTTTATGCTACGAAAAATTCAAGATAGCAACGTTCACCATAAATCATGATAATAGTATATAACATTAGTCATTATGTTTATTAATTTGATTTTATATTTAAGATTTTGAACAGTCAATAAATGTGTACACTGTACGTCTGTACGGTATACCTATTGGTTTTACATAGGATTTATTGTTTTTTAATTAAATTATATATAAATATATTTTTTTTGTATGTCATTATCTTTGGTCAGATTTGATAAAAATGTTTTTAATTTTAAGGCATGAGACTTTCCTCCCAAGTTTTTCTTACTATAGGTAATTAAATAAAAAAAGTTACGCATTAAGCTACATTAATTTTTTATTAGTGTTTACAGTTCAAATTATGATTTAATTGGACACGCACACATAAAATAGCAATTTATCTTCAAACATTTTTTGTTATTCTGTTGTATTTTAAAAAAATAAGTAAATATTCACTTTTAAAATTGTGGCCGATTTTTAGAATTTTCAAGGCTACTGAGAAATATTTGAAAATGATGAAATGAGCTACAACTTGCGAGTAGTACAGAACATACAATAGATTTCTACTATTATTGTTTTTGATTATTGATTTTCTAGAATATAAGTAGGTACCTATAAGTAAATTAATTCATGTCCAATTTACTCCCCTTGTAAATAATTTTAAGTTAATAAAGACTATCTACAATATATGGCTATAGGTATGTTTGGATGGGCTAGAAAAATTTAAATAAACCAATAGTTATTACCAGTATTGATTTTAAGGTATTAGGTACAATATAAAACAATAAATTATAAATAACATTATAAAACTAAAACTAGTAAAACTACTTATCAAAATATTTATTAAATAATTAAATTTGTTATATTGTTATTATTGTTTTGTTTTTCAATTTAAAACTATATTGTTACAGTTTTATTTTTTTATTCCCACACACGTCACACATACAATTTTTTGGCATGTCTTTGCCGCCTCCCAAAACGTCTCCATAGACATAACGCTCAATGTTTATCCATAATGAACTGCTATCGTCGTTCTCGGCAATCAGCATTCTAATTCACTAAATTATTCATAACTCTATAGAACTATAGAAGTGAGTAGTGACCCATTATAAGAATATTTTTTTAGGCGGGTATACAGAAAATATGTACGAGTGTCGGAGTTTACGACAATATCTATTGGACATCGGCCATTCTGCATTTAAAGAGTCTTAAACCTACATTTCCCTACTCTAAATAATTATTAAATTATTAATGATTTATTGACATATAATTTATTATTTATATAATAATATACTCGACACAACAGTAAAAACTTAAATTACTTAGTAACAACAAAGTCAAACAACCATTTATTTTGTATTTTGTAGATCATACCAATGTAGGTATTATTACCTACCTATTTTAAATTTACTCTTCGTTTTATTACACCTAACCTAATTTTTATTTTCCAAACAAAGTTATGGGTAATTTATCATTCAGACAAAAAAATAACAGGAGAGATGAAACGATCGATCAAACATCGTCATGTGGCCTTACCGAATTCTGGAACCAAAAAAGACAAGATTTTAACGATATCTACTTTAATAATAATAGTTTCCCACCAGCTGAAGCGTCGGACTTTCGTGTAACAACCATATTGGATGAAGGATCTTTCGGTTCTGTTGCATTAACCACTCACAACATAACCGGTACTGTTTATGCCACTAAAGTAATTTCCAAAAAGAAGATTATTAAAGGTGATAATGTAAGTATCGCAAGTTTGAATACTGGATTTAACTATTTGCAGTCCCCGTAATTACCGAACCCAAATTCCCACTGTATATATACAACGAAATATCCATAGCTACCTACTTGATGTATACATATAATAGTAATATTTAAACTTCGAAACAGTAAATATTTTTAGATAAATATAAGTAAAGGACTAATTATAATTTAAAGTGGTTTATTAAATAAATTTATTTATTTATAAAATTCTACATAGGTAGGTATTTTGTCAATAGATTTGTATAGTTCATTTAATTTTTAATAATATTTTTTGTCTTTTTAGGTTTCCAGCGCAATAGGGCATCGTGACATTTAATCTTTAAAGTACTTAAACTACTACTTACCTAGTCACCTATATACGTGCATGTACCTAGGTATATGATCACACAGTAAATCCAATAATTATTCTGCATATCTCGGTAGGTATTCGTTTACTTAACTATAATATTGTATTATCTGTATAAAATGTAACACTTATAAAGGAAACTAATATTTTTTAAATAACTATATATATAGGTATGTATTTGGTCACATACTCATATATCCAAATTCAATATAATTGTTAACGATCGTTTATGCACATAACCAATCGGCACGCATAATATCATTTTAAATACGTACAAGAAAAATAGTAAATGTAGAGATTTACAGAAATGGGCTACAGTGTTTGTTTTCGGGGCTATGATCCGCTATGTTCATCTATATATTAGTGCCTATATTTAGTAGATATTAAGTATTTATGATATAAAATAAATGTAAACGCAAGTGAAACTACGGGTCAGGCTAGCCAGGCCATGGTCTAACTTAATGCTGATAAATTATCAGCCACACAAATGATATAGATAGCCAGATAGGGTACGTAATAATATATTATAAAAAGAAATTGTATTAAATAAAAACTAAGATACCTTTTCTGTGATTATTTTCCCGAAACGCAATGACGGAAAAATTGAAATTGTAATACGTTATAAATAGTTATTGATATATTTTCTCGGTATTCAATGAAAGCTTGAATATATTGTGGCAGAATAACTATAAAATAAAATAAAAATTCTGACATCTTAGTACCTATATAAAGTATAAATACAAAAAAACAAAGCCCAGAGTATTAATTGTATGAATATACAAGTAAAATCTTCTATGACATTAAAAATATAAAAATTCAAATTATTAATATTTTTTTGACGGGGACAATTTTAAAACATTTTACTCTCATAAAAATGTCAGGTTTCACCTATGGATACCAAGAGTAAGTGGGTAGGTATGTTAAAAAAACAATATATTGTGATCTGCTGTGGCTTATGATCATATTATATAGACGCCTACAGTTAAATACCTACTTAAGTATCATGTTTGTATTAGGTGCAGCGAATGCTCAACGAGAAACGGATTTTGGAATCAATCAATTTTCCGTTCGTCATTCGTCTCGAGTATTTCTACCAAGACCACAGTTTCATTTACTTTGTCATGCCGTTCGTATGCGGCGGTAACATTCGCACGCACATGAAACGGTACGGATCGATGGACGAGCACAAAGCGCAGTTTTACTTTTCGGAAGTTCTGTTGGCCGTTGAATACTTACACAAGTTGAACTTGGTGCACCGGGATATCAAACCCGAAAATATACTAATCGACATCAATGGACATGCTCAACTCGCAGACTTCGGGTTTTGTAAACACATAAAGGGTCGTACGTTCACGTTTTGTGGCACTGCCGAATACTTGGCGCCGGAAATTATACTCAGACGAGGTAAAGCGTATAATGACACATGAAAGTATATGCGTATGCTCTACAAGTGGTATACCGTATATATATGCGTATTTTAAGACCACGGTTATCTCTACTACACACATAATAGATGTCACTACCGTGATATAAAACAGAGGGTAGAAGTGAATATATACAAAGATATATATTACAATCTATTAACGTTGGTGTCAAATTTCCAATGATTTTTTTTTTTTTAGGAAGTCTTTTTTATATTACAAATTTGGTGGGTCGTTGATCTAAATACATTAAATTTAAAAGAATATAATTTATTTTAGAGATTTATATCGTGAGTTTTTTGTGTTTTAATTATGTGTTAATGTATCTTAATTAACGAAGTATAGAAATTTAACAACCAGCAGTTAATATAATTATGATTTATGATAAAATATTACTTTTATTATACAACTAACTACGATTTACCTATATGTACAAGGGATTGTATTTAAGTATAAATTATTTAAAAAGTTATTATAATTTTCTGTAATAATGTTATAAAAATACAAAGTCCTTCAAATATGTTAAATGAAATAATAAAAAGAGCAATTAATAATATTATCAAACCAAAAATTTAATATATTTAGGTACACAGTATAATATTTGATTAATTATAAATAACAAATAATAATAGAAAATATAAATAATAATTTTCAATCCCGTTCTAAATTATAGCCTATTGAGTAATGTAGGCACTAGACATACCATTTTTTTATATAATAATATTTTTACCGAAAAATAAAATTTGCGAAAACCTTTTTATAAAACCGTATTAAACATGTAATACTCGATATTATGCAGAACTTAAAATTTTTAATTCTTATAGGTACTAATAGGTATACACTGTACTATATATATATAAATATGCAATATAGCGTTATGCGTTTGATAGGTCAATAGATCGACAGCCAAAATATGGACTGGATAGATAAAGCAATCATATATTATAATTTTTAGTTCTTATTCTTATTTAAAAATCTGTCCTTAACAATAAAATTGAATACAAACATACAAAAAAGTCAAAAAACAATGTATATATCATACAAATACGATCGTGCATTGTAGATATTATATGATATGATATGTGGTAAAAAGTAGGTACTTTAAACGCGATTCACCTTCATGATTGTCAAAAGTCTTTTTTAAGCGCTATCCACGTAGATTTGAATAGATTTGTTTGACGTGGCCTTGAAGCTTTCCAAATAATATACTGGAGTGTTTCATATAAAACGTTTTTAATTTTGCTATAAATCAATATTATCTTATGAGGAGTACATAATAATTATTATAAATTATGTATTACATTGTTTCGCTATACTATTTGTTTAGTTGTTTTGTTGAGATTTAAGTGTGAAACACGATATCGGGCATATATGACCCCCCCCCCCCCCCCGCCCTCTTTAATCGCTCGATACGCAGTGACTCTGTCAATACAATCACTGATCACGTTCGGTACCGCGTGGTGGCCGGTGATGGGCCGATTGGTCCATCCCCTTCACGACAGTGTATCTATGATGTACAATAGTATTGTTGACCATGCACGCAATTATTGAACTGTTTAATATACCATATGTAGTATCTCGCCGTCGTTGTTGACATCCCGCAGGATACGGGAAAGCGGTCGACTATTGGTCGCTCGGCGTTCTCCTGTACGAAATGTTGGCCAACCGTTCGCCGTTCGTCGATCGCGACACCGGGAAGCTGTTCAGAAACATCGTGGACGGGGAGTACAGCTGTCCGCTGGGCTTCTCGGGCGACGTGATCAACCTGTTGCGGAACATACTCAAGGTGGACGTGACCAGGCGGTACGGAAATCTGGCGAACGGCATCCGGGACATCAAGAAGCACAGGTGGTTCGGCAGCATGGACTGGTGTGCGGCGTTCGACAGGCGCGTGACGCCGCCGTACGTGCCGGTGATCAGCGACACCGTCGACACTAGTAACTTCGAGACGCAACACGGCAAGCTGTTTTACGGCGCCAGCAAAGACATGTTCGGCGACATTTTCAAGGACTTTTGAGTGCCGAGATCGTCGTAATGTACATTAAAGCGCAAACGGCGTGCAAAGTGTACATTTCGCAATTTGTACAGTGATTTTTGTACACATTGCGAAGTGTACTATGTTGCTGTACAAAGTCGTACCTAACTAGATTGTACAAGTTGCGTTATACAATTCACGATGTGTACAATAATCACTGTACAAATTCCGAAGTGTACAAATTGTTGTACAAATCATAACATTTAAAAACATATTCTAAAAATTACAATATAATAACTGTTATGTTTTAAAAGTATTTTCTTAATAAATGTTACATATTATTACTTATTTTTGTGATTTGTACAACAATTGTACACTTCGGAATTTGTACAGTGATTATTGTACATATCGCGAATTGTACAATTCCGGACTTTGTATGTAACATACCTATATCTATTAGACAAATAATATTTTTAAAACGAGTCTCGACAAATAATTGCCTTGTCCACCAAAACTCAATATCATATTTATTGTTAGTTACAAGTTTATGACAAAGATATTATTTTTTTTCGTACATTTTTATATTTTAGTAATTTTGTATATTTCAAAACGGATAGAATATCAGCTAAGCTTCAGATATCAGATGAAGAGCGCACATTACGAAAATATAGAATATATTTTAATATCAAAAACAAACAAATAAAAGAAAAATTAAAACCCAAAGAGTATCACGACGAGAAATCAAAAAAACAAAAGTTATAGAAAATACAAACAGATGAGACAGATTACTTGTGTAGTGATATAATACGAAAACCTATTTCAATATTACAATTAATAATAATACATATTTTAAAAATAAAAAGAAGAGTCGAGGAGCTCTGCAAATACTTATACAGTCGTTACTGTAAAATGATATACTTGAACACGCGTATAATTTAACCACACGCGATGATTAAGAAACATAGAAATGAAGAAAAAATATCAGTTTATTTAATTACCACAATTTATTTGCACTCGCTAGTCGCTTGTTTTTTTGCTCAAAATAATATTATTTTTTTTTTTGATGGTATTTTTATTGTTTTTGGTTAATGAAGTATGAGCATTGAATGCCATTTGCCTGCAAGTGCGTAATTATTAAAACAGAGTCCAGATCCATCCAGCATTACGCACTATTTTAAAGTCGAAAGAGTGAAGTATAAGCACTGCCAACAAATGTCATCCATTAAAATGTATCTAATGTGCGAGTGTCGGGTGAGTAATCAGGAAATTTTATTACCACCTAATCGGATGAATATTTTATTCGATCGGTGCACATCGCGCATGAAAATACAAATATTATACATCCGTGTGTACATTTTTAAAACGGATTTTGATACATTATTGTGGGGCTACAATGCTACATTAACAATTATAAAACATTTTAATGAATCAACAGTGAACAAATGGTCCCTTAGATACAGGGCCAAATTTACGCAAGGACAAATGGGACATTTGCACTGGGCCCACTCAAAATGGGGGCCCACCGATTTCAGGCATATACAAATTTAATTCTTCACATTTTTATCACACTTTGGGAAAACAAAATAGATTTTGATTTTGCTCGAATATTTTAGTGGGTTATAAAGTATAATGGGATTGCGACTGTAGACTTGTTGTTAGGCTTCTGCCACACCATGCGTTTTGGCGGGTCCGGTTAAACTGGATGCGTTTTGACCGGATGGCTTTGACCATGTCACATCTATGCGTTTTTGTTCTTAAAAATGTTCCCGCCGCTGCATTCAAAGTTCCAAATGTCACCGCTAGTCTTCAAATTTGTAATCAACAATATTTTGCTATTGCATCACATTCAACGTCCCTACGCTCTTTGATGGTAAACCTATATTACTTACTTGTTTTATGCAGTGTTATTTTATTATATTACTCGTCAGTTATAACTATATAAATTATATAATAATTTAAGTGTGTCTAAATTATAATATTTTTGTGTACTTCTACTTGTGTAATTTACTTTTTGAACACGTCATAAGTAAGTAAGTAAGTTATATTACTTAATAGTTATTAGCACTTGCACTTTTACATATATTCAATATTAGTTATATAATACTTAATAATTTATTAATATATAATATCTAATATAATTAAATAGATTAAAAAAATGAATCGTAAAAAGATTAAAGTTGTTGCTGTAGCTGAAGCATTAGGCTTATTAGATCCACCGAAAGTACAAAGAAGGTATTGGGTACACCCACTAAATATGGATCGTGAGAAAATTGGCCAGTTTAGGACATTTTTTGAAAATATTAGACAATATCCTGACAAATTCTTTGAGTATTACCGTATGTCTATCTCCAGCTTTGATGAATTGCTAAAAACACTGCGGCCACATATAACAAAAAGTACAACAGAATTTCGTAATCCGATATCTGCTGAAGAACGTCTTACAATTACTATAAGGTAAGTTTTTTTTTTATAATACATACCTATAAGTTGAGTTTTTCAACGTGAGATTTATGATTATTTTAATAAGTAAACAATAATCATCCTTAGTTATCATGAATTAAAAATAATTATTTTAAAACATAACTTCTGTAGATAATAGGTTAACAGATAAACAGTCAATGAGAAAAAATGTAGTATTTAATTTTCATTTAAGATAAAATATAATTTTTAAAAATTAAATACATTAAAAACACAATATAATACTTACTGTATATTGTATAACAAACTTTGTTATTAAAATTTGTAAAAAAAAAATAATAAAAAATAATAATGTCATACCGTATAAAAATTAAAATATAACATACCTTTTTAAATATCATTAAGTACATTATAAACACAATATAATATATTTTACTGTATAACAAACTTTGTTATTTAAATATTTAAAAAAAATAAAAATAATAATAAAACTGTTTAAAAAATAAAACAACACGCCTTTTAAATTGCAGTAAATATAATATTATTACCTACCTCTACTTATTTATAATATCAAAATTTCCGTACATTTCTCCACTGGTATTAGGTTGTTGAGATTGATCAGATGTATAATTATATGAGCTAGTATATGGCAAGGGTTGTGGGCGTTGTGGCATAAGATTATGATTTTGATTGTACCCCAAACCAGGGTTGAACTCTGAAGAATATACATTTGAATATTGAGTTTGGATCGGGGGAATTCGAGTAGTGTTTTGATTAATGTTATAAGATGGCGGAGTTGGTTGTAATTGATTAGATCCTAATGATATGTTCCTAAAATACTGTAAAGTCATGAGACGAAAATCTGTTTTTTGCTCATAGTTAAGACGTTTATAATCGGGTAATAAGGAAAATAAAAATGCCTTATCAGGATCAGATGTGACATCTTCCTCGGAAGTAGATAAATTTTTTAATAATTCTCTTTGAAATTGTGTTATTTTTTGTACCTTGCATTTATTTTGTTTTTTACTTTTTGGAGTAGAATATCTATCCGATTGAGCTGGTATAGTTTCATCATATATCTCTAGCTCGTGTGACGAATCTTCTCCGCTGATATTTTCTCCTTCTCCTTCTTCATGTACATTTTCATCAAAATTACCTGTCGTTCTATGAGTAAATAGAAAATAATTCGTTTAGTTCTCATTACATTTGAAACAATTCGTAGGCGCTTTGGCGGAACTAGGGAGGGGAAGTAGAGAGAGCTTAGCCTCCCCTGACAAAGATTTAGCACCCCCAGAAAATATACCTTGTTAACTTTAATATTTGTTACATTTTACAATTTTTTATTAAAATATTTTTACAAAATTAACATTTTGTCAAAACATTTTTTTTTAAATTTAATTTAAATTTAAATATAAAAAAAAAAAGTCGGCAAGCGGGTATCGCTCTGCTGTACATTAGGGGGTGGGGTGGACCTCGGACTAGGGTAGGTTAAATTTGAATGCAATGATAGGTATCATTGTATACGAAAAACGTTTCTGAACGGAGATGATTTGTCAGTCTAGAATATTTAACGTTAGATATAAATATAAATAATTTTATGAATTTTGAACTACAAAATAATTTGCAATTAATATTCATGATTTTGACGAGATCTTGTCAAAATTTGAACTTCAAATTGACCCCCCAAAGTACCACCTAGATTCAATTTCCTTTTCAAAAAGGGGCTGAAGTCAAAAATCGAAGCATTTTTACTGCTCTAAATGTTGTCGACAGACACAAAAAAAAAAAAACATATCATTGTAAAATCAATACATTCATCACTTCGTTCAGAATCTAAAATAATAATAATAATAAATTTAAATATAATTATATTAATATAATCACCTTCTCTTTTTGATTACATGCTGCAGAAATGAGAGTGATTCTGCATATACATATTTTTTTTTTTTAGCACTATCACCACTTTTCCCCTGATTTATAAATTTTGAGTAATGGTCTCTTATGTGTCTCCATTTGGTTTTCAAGTCTGTCACTACAATTATATTAATTTTTATTCTATATTATTATTATAAATAAATAATCAAATTAGTTTAAATTAAAATTTGGATTTTAACCTATCATATATTATCAGAAATAAAAGTCGCACATATTTCGCATCGTGGGTATTCTTATAATCAGGGCTGTGAATTTCATGCACTAAAAAAGTCTTGAATATGCATGCATTTATGCACTAAAAACAAGTGAAATATGCTTTAAAATATGCACTATAAATTATAAAATTTAAAAATATGCAAAATATGAAAAAAAAAATTATACTCACATATACTGGATGAAAAAACGTTTTATTTAAATAAATATTGTAATTACTAATTATAAAATGACTTGAAAAATGGACTTGTAATAATAATAATAAATGCTTCAATGTTCTATTGTTCTTCGACGCCTGAAAAAAAACATTAAATATAGATAGAACACATTGTTTTATAGATATTTAAACAATTTATTTATTTACCTGCAAAATAAGTATTGCATTGTACAATCAGCGATTTCTTTATATTTTCAAACTTGAATGATCTCCTATTTGGCGCCAAGAGGTTTTTGTACACAGAAAATGAACGCTCTACATCAGCTGACGTGGTAGGGGCATACTTGAAATATCCCATGTCACTACTTGTTAAGTTTTCAGGTATATCTAAACAACCAACGTTTTCTTCTTCTCCGTTTAATATTTTTGAAATATTGCAAACAATTTGAAACCCTTTATTTTTAGTAAGAACTGTCTGTAATTTCTCGTTAATTTTGATTCCGGTCTGGCATTTTAAATTATTGAATTTGGCTGAAACATCTTCAATAATCTGTATCGCTTCTATTAATGCCATGCCTTGTTTTTGAAGACGTGTTATAGCCGTAGGAAGGCACTCAAAGTTTGATTTTATAAATGCTAAGTTACCTTTAATCTGTGGTGCTTTAAAATATTTTTGAGCATTTCTAATTGAAAGCGCATCATCTTCATCAAAACTTTCAACAATATTTTTTACAATTTGGAAGTTTTCACAATAATATATTGAAGCGGAAATCCATATTCCCCATCGTGTCAGAATTGGTTCGGGGGGTAGAGCTATATTAGGCGCATCAGTCTTAAATTTTATAATACGAGATGGTGCCTTTTTAAATACTTTTTTAACATTAGCAACCAGTTTATCTACTTTGGGATATTGAATACGGATATATTCGGCAACTCTATTTAATCCATGTGCTGTGCATGTTACATGGACCATTTTTGTGTACAACACTTTCAACGTATCTCCTGCCTTCACCATATAGGGCGCGGCGTCACTCAAAAATAATAATACGTCGTTACGATGTATGCCACCAGGCCAAAGTAAACAAAGCGAATCTTCAAATAGTGTGCATATAGTACTGTGGTTAGCCTTTTCTAATTGCTCGACATTTAATAAAAAAATTTCACCTGGCCGATCCGTGAGTAGTGTTCCGATTATAACGGAGGCAATATAGCGTCCTTCAGCGTCCGTCGTTTCGTCAATTGAAACCCAAATTTTTTTCTCTGCCACTTTATTTCTTATTTCTCCAATAGTTTCCTGGTAACAATTATCGACATATGATTTTCGTAAAGTTGATTGATCTGGTATAACTTCCGATGTATATTTCTCTAAAAAGATTTTGAAATGTGGATTGCTCAGTTTATTGAAAGGTATATTAGCACTCAACATAGCTTTACATAAATCAGTTTTGAATGACGATTTTGTTGAAGAATTTTGAAATAAAAGCTGTTGAGATTTATCCTTTTTTTCTTCAGCGCGTTTAACAGATTTACGATGTTTTTCGGCTGCGATATGCTGAGTTATAGAAAAACGTTTTTCACTTGAAACTTTCGTATTACATACTTTGCAAAATAAAATTTTGTTATCTGTTGAAAATATTTCTGTTCCAAATTCAGTAACATAACTTTGTAAACGACTAGATGTCGTCTTTTTTTCTTTTGGCATTTTAAAATTATGCTTGTTAAGTGTTAACTAATAGAAAATTTAAACGAAAATATTACAAACAACGTATTACCACTCACGAGACGACGACAACACTATCGCGCGTCGGTTTGTCTACCATAATATAATAGATTAAGATTAAAGATATTTCAAGTTAGACTTTTGACCACAGACCTGCGATAATAACAGGAGACAATTGCATGCCACTCTAGACCGGGTTTAACACATGTTCCTGTTATTATTACCACCGCGATAAAATTACAACGGTAAAATTGTATCGTCCAAATTCAAGAAATTTTACAAATTAATGAGAAAAACATATTATTCAAATGAGAAAAAAGCAAAAACAAGAGGAATTCGCGAAATCATGCATTTATATGCCCTTACCGGTTAAATATGCAAAAATATGCAAAATAAGATTTCGTATTTAATTTATAAATAACGCAAAACAAATTTTGATCAAATCCATTTTCTTATACAATGTAGCAAAAAAAACATGCAAGTGCATGAAATTCACAGCCCTGCTTATAATATTTGAACTTATGAAAAAAAAACTGTGCCTATGCATTAGCTATTTTTGCCTAAAAATAGCTTAAAGTAAGCGAAATATTTTGAAAAAATTATTTATGTAAAGAAAATGCTAATTTAAACATCTGGTACATTTTTAATTATTACAAAACTCTAAAATCAGAAATTAGAATCTAAAAGGCTACCAATCAAAATGTATTTATTAATTAATTATTTCGTGTTTCTTAGATATTTATCAACTGGTACATGCTTCTCCGCATTAAAATTTGATTTTTGTGTGGGAAGAAGTACGATTGGAGTGATTGTAAAGGACACATGTAAAGTGATATGGTTAACATTGAATTCAAAAGAGATGCCTAAACCGACCACTGAAGATTGGGTGGAAATATCAAATATATTTTATACGAAAACTAATTTTCCAAATTGTCTAGGAGCAATAGACGGAAAACATATAAGGTGTAAAAATCCTAATGACTCCGGTTCATTATATTTTAATTATAAAAAGTATTTCTCAATCGTTTTTATGGCAGTAGTGGACGCCAATTTAAATTTTGTTGTAATCGATGTGGGTTCATATGGTCGTGAAGGGGACTCTAATGTGTTCAAGGAGTGCGCTTTTGGTAAACAATTATATGAAGACAAATTGAACATACCAGAACCAGTTGTTTTACCAAATACAAGTGCCAATCCACAACCGTATGTATTTATTGGAGATGAAGCGTTTGCTTTACATAAAAATTTACTTAGGCCATACCCTGGACGTAAACTTACTGATTCCCGAAGAGTGTTCAACTATCGATTATCCAGAGCAAGGCGCACAGTTGAATGTGCATTTGGAGTACTCGCGAATAAATGGCGTGTTTTACATACGGCTATCCAGGTCGAACCAGATTTTACCGACGATATAATAAAAGCGTGTTGCATATTGCATAACTTCGTTCGTAAAAGAGATGGCATAAATTATGAAGATTCTCAAACGCACAACTTTGAAGATATTGAGGCTCGTGGAACAGGAACTCGATCGGACGGAGTTGAAGTAAGGGATTACTTTGCGAACTACTTTATGGGCCCAGGAGCAGTTGATTTTCAATATGATATGATTTAAATTTTAAAATAAATATGTTAGTTTAAGAAAAAAATTATTTTTAAATATAACATTTATGTATTAAATGTATTAAATAATGTAATTTTTATCTACAATTTACATGATATAATAAGTATAAAATATAACTTAACCTTTATTTTGTTTTGCACGCTCTTCAAGCTCACTCCAATTTTCAAACATGTATTCGCCAATCGTGTTCCAACTTTGTTGTTTTATGTTCCTATCCATATAATCTTTTGATCCAATTTCCCATATGGAAGGGTTATTTTGAATACAAGATATAAATTTATCCGTATCAAAAA